CCAGACTCAAAGAGCCAACTGGCCGCTCAAGATTGCCACGTGAATGTCTGAAAGGCATGTCAAACTCAACGTATCCCGAAGCAGACTCCTCGCATCTCCTGGGATCCTGCTTCGCCCTGAGACGTCCCCGTCTCACTAAACGGTAACCTCATCCTTCCGGCTGCTCAGGCCAAAAGCCCTGGCATCATCCTTGATCCTGCACGCTGTCTCTGCTGTCAATCTACCTGCAACTCCTGTCCTTTTCACCTTCAAATTCCATCGAGAGAGGCCACTTCTCACCATCTCACCCCCGGCCACCTCCAGGGCCCAAGCCGCCACCACTGTGCCCCTGGACTCTTCCAACAGCCCCCTGCTGGTCCCTGCTGCTGCTCTTAGCTCCCTGGTACCAACAGGGCAGGGTGACTCTTCACAACTAAACCAGAGCATGTCCCTCCCCTCCTCCAAAGTCCTCCACGGCTTCTGCCTCTCACTCAGGCCCAGGTCCTTGAGGGGCCTGTGGAGCCCAATGCCATCGATCGCGACCTCAGAGTCCTCACTGCCACCTAACCCCTCCCAGCACTATGGTCCTTTGTGCTTGCGTTCCCCTCTGCCAAGAACGCTGTTCCCCAAACATCCGCAGCTCGCTCCCTCACCTTCTTCGCCTGATGCCTTCCCCAGCTGCCCTCAGCCCAGATCTCTCCACCTCCACGGGTCCCCCAGCACATGTCAGACTACATATCTGCTGCTTCGCGGGGGTGTCTGTGTTTGTGTTGGNAAAAAAGAATGAATGGGTGTTTGGCCCTTTGGAGACAGAGTGCTATATAAATAAAAGTATAATTAGAGTCATTCCTTGGGCAGCAATTAAAACCCACTTTATCATTCTTCTCCCAGGAGGCTCTAGCCACTAGGACCTGGCACTCTCCCAGGGGTAGGGTGGTGTGCCTCTGAAACCTGCCAGCACTTTTCCTGTCTGTGCTGGGCTATCGCTGGCAGGGGAGGGGCGGGAGCAGGGCAGCTGCTACAGTGGCCAAAGGGCTTGTCCCAGGTGAGCCGACACTTCTGACTCAGAAAGGCCCCAGAGGCAAATCAGCTCCAAGAAAATCCTGTTCACCAGCTTCCAGGTCAAGCGTCAGCCTGCTCTAGGCCACCTGCCTAGGAATCAAGAAAAACAAAAATGGCCCTCTGTTCCCACCATATAAACAAACAAAAGAAAGACAAGACCAGACCAGCCAGGACCACTTGCTTTGTCCCAGGTATGTTCATTCACCATCATTTAGACCTCAAGCGGTTCTGTAAAGCAGGTAGAGTAGTCCCTCCTTACCCACGACTTCACTTTCCATGGTTTCAGATAATGGTGATCAACCATGGTCTGAAAATATTACCTAGTAAATTCCAGAAATAAATAATGTATAAGTTTTAAATTGCATAGCACTCTGAGTAGTGTGATGAAATTTCCCACCATCCTGTCCATCCCACCCAGGATGTGAATCATCCCTTTATCCAACATCTCCACGCTGTACGTGCTCCTCGCCCGTTAGTCACGTAGTCGCCATCTTGGTGATCAGGTGGACTGTCACAGGATCGCAGTGCTTGTGTTCAAGTCACCCTTATTTTACTTCACAATGGCCCCCAAAGTGCAAGAGTAGTGATGCTGGCAATTCAGGTATGCCAAAGAGAAGCCCTAAAGTGCTGCCTTTAAGTGAACAGGTGAGTACAATAAGATATTTTGAGAGAGACCATATTTACATAACTTTTATTACAGTATTATTATAATTATTCTATTTCATTATTTGTTATTGGTGTTAATCTCTTGCTGTGCCTAATTTATAAACTTTTTCATAGGTATGTATGTATGTATGTATGTATGTATGTATAGGAAAAAGCAGTTTATATAGGGTTCGCTACTATCTGTGGTTTCAGGCATCCACTGGGGGTCTTGGAACATATCCCCTGTGACTAAGGGGGGGAGGGTACTGCACTCTATTACTACACCTCTTTTAAAGCTAAGGCTCAGAGAGCGTCCCTGAGGGTCAGAAGCAGACACCAGAATTGCCTGTCTCTAACCCTTTCAGGGATGGGCTGTGACCTTGGTAGATGGCTGGAGCACATTTGGGAGACGGGACGCTGGAGGAAGTGCTCACAGCGGGCAGCAACCCTTCAGAAGGCTTCCCGCAACACCACGCCACTACCACCCAAACACGAAGGGTCATGGGCAACGGCCAGCTTGTCGTCGGGCTCAACGCATCCCAAACACCAGTTCCAGCTTTGGATCATAGGGAATGTGAAACCGCTCCCTGGGCCCCACTCCTGTTCAGTTCCCAAGGCTTCCTCCGTTATCTGGTATCCAATTTATACATGGACAGGCTCTCGGTGAGGCCTCAGTAGCAAGGAATAGGGGAGACAGTGTTGAGTCATTTCTAACTATGATGGGATTGGAACAAGAGTCTCTGAGTAGCAACAAAACCCCAGGAAGGGGCAGCCCGGCTTTCTAACACGTAGGAAAGGGTTTGATGCCTTTATGTACACATTGAGCTGTTGCCTTCCAAGTGGTCCCCTGAAAGGCTGTACGCTTATTCTAGTGACTCTTCCAGGGCTTATTCGGCTCCTCAGAAATTGCTTTCAGAGCCAACTTTTACCAAAATTGACCAGCCTGCTTGCTTGCCCAAAGTATTTCTCAATCCAGGCACCCAAGTGACTTTCAGCTGTTTCTAAAATCCAAATCCAAGTTCAAAAGACCGAAACCTTGCCCCTCTAAGGCCACTCCCAAGAATCTCAGGCCCAGTCTGAGAAATGGCTGCATGACAAGAATAACATAACTTTCCCAGCTGTGTTTGTTGTCCAGACACCTACCTGCCTTTATGGTCAAAGCTCACGTGTGTTGACCTCCTCTCTCTCTGCCTCCCAACAGAAGTCCTGAACCTCTTCTCAGACAGAGGGAGTATGGGGCACCCCCACCGACACACCAGAGCTGGCTCTGCCTTCCCCAGAAATAGGGCCCTGTCTCTCCCTCCCAGCAGAGCCCAGGCCCTGGGACCAGCACAGGCTCCATTTGTCCCACTAATGAGTCTTAAGTGTTTGGCTTGGGCTCCTGCCAGTCCTACCCCTACAGGGAAAGGGGGATGGGAGAGAAGGGAACAAAGCTCATGCCAGCTTGCTCCGCTAGGCCCTGGGAGGGCTGGCATAGGGACTGTGTGGCACAGACCCACCCAGGGGTGCAGCCAGGCACCCACCGGAGGGCCCCTGCCTTTTTTCCCCTCTGCTGCAGGGGCCTTCCCAAAATGCAGAATCCTCACATTCCTACTGGACTGGAATCCCTGAGTGGGCCCAGGAACGTGACTCTTTAACAAGCAGCCCAGGAGGCTGTGATACACAGTGAAGGTTAAGAGCGCTGCTCTAGGAAGTCAGCGATGGAATCCTTGGCTGATTCGCATAACCGTGAATACATGCATATTTCTGGAGTTCACAGCTTTGGTCAAATTCTCAAATTAGGTAGGTGGCTCTGATACCCCCTAAAAAAAACAAAGGCTAAGAAGCTCTGGTGAATGAGATGATTTCTAAATTCAGCTGTAGTCGGACCTGCTACAATTCAATGACTCTGCTCGGGCCGTCAAGGTGAGTCCACAGGAGCCTCTCCCTTTAGCAAAGCTCAGGGAAAGGTGATGCCAGCCCTCAAAGGCTGACAAGTCTGGGGAACTCAGGATGGGAGGGAACTAGGCTGAGGGACAGCAGGCTGTCCATGGCCAGGGGTTTGGGTGGGGATGGCCAGGAGCCAGGGGACATCCCAGAATGCATGGGCTGACAGGCTAAAAGGACCCTTTAGGGGTCACAGAAACCAACCCCATGGTGAGAAGGGTGACTTTTCACCAATTTCAGGTCCTCTCTCTGCAGCTACACGGCTAAACTACATTTCCCAGTCTCCCCTGAACTGAACGCTGGCCCGTGGAACGTGGGTCTCCCACAGGATCCTCCCTCCCCCACAGGATCCTCCCAGGACTGCAAGGCCCCCTGCAGGTGGCCGAGCCACAACATGTGGAAGGAGCCTGGGCTCCAAACGACTGTGAGGCACAGAGCGGCCCCACCACCAGCCCACCTGGACCGGGCAGTTTATTGACGGAAAGGAAACCGCTGTGTGTTAGGCTACTGAGATTTGGGGGTTGTTGGAATCAGCAATCCGCCTGTTATAACACATACGCCCTCCTCAGGGACACTGCGCCCACGAGTACACGGGTAGTGGCATGTTCATTATTAGAACGAGCTCCTGGTGGGCCAGGACTCCGACCAGCATTTCCCAGCTCCAGCCTTGGACAGGGGGACGGGGGACAGGGTGCCAGGATGCCAGGACCACACACCACAACCTGGGCAGCACCAATTCCCAAAAAACTTTATTGTTTCAAGTGGCAAAATGTTATTGGTCTCTGTGGGGCACCTGGCAGGGTGGAGGGAGACCTGAGGTGGGGCCGGGCTCCACCCATTACAAAAATCAAAGGCTTTTATAAAAATTGCTATAAATTGGTATCAAAAGAAAACCCAAGGGAGGCTGGAGGAGGAAGCAGAGGAGGCGGGAAGAGAGCCCAGGGAGGGAGGGACCAGAACCTTTGACCACTAATGACGGAATGGAGGCTGGGAGAGAAGGGGTGGGTGGGGGGAAGTTGGGAAGGTGATACAAAGTGCATAAATGTGCCTCCCCAGACACTCCTCAGAGGTGGAGGGAGACAGGCTGCAGCCTGGGGCATGGGAGGCTCCAGCTGTCTCCTCGCCAGGGACCCCACGGGAACGGGCACTGCCTGAGACTGCCGGCTAGGAAGGACCTGCACCAGGAGGGAAGAGAAGAGGTCAGCGGAGCGACCGCGCGGGGCACAGGAGATGCTTTAGCTTCCTCCTCCTGAGCCCCTCCCGGTCCCCACTGCGCTCAGCTGTGAAGCCGGTCCCTGCTGGGGACCTGGTAAGTGGCCCCAGAGATCCCAGGCCAGAAGGGCTGACGGAGCACACTGAGGACAGCTACAGGGCACGGGGACTGTCCTCGGGCCCAGGGAGGAAGGCTGGAAGGCTCCTCGTCCATCCTGGGCCAGACAACACCCTGCTCTGGGCAAAACAGACGGGACGCCAAGGGACCTACCAAGTCTCTGGAGCTTGGCCCCACCTGCCTGCTTCCAGCCTGGCAGAGAAAAGCGGGTGGAGAGCGAAGGGGGCGTCCTTACCCCTGAACCCCCCACCCCGACCCCAGCTCGGCCCAAGCCCAGGGACCTGCCCTCACCTCGGTGGTTCCTCACACCTTCTTCTTCTTCAGCTTCAGGGCTTGGAGCCAGTTTGGCGACGATCCTTCTGACCTAAAAGGCAGAGGGTAAAGATCACAAGACAGACCTGAGGAAAGCAGGACAAAATGAGAGGGGGTAGGAACGGACACCCCCCACCAAACCCCGCCGCCAACCGGAAGAGGCAGCCGGGGCCTGGCTGCAGAGACGAGAACTCCGCCACCAACTCCATAGAGATAATTTGCAGCATATTGAGCTCCCCCCCCAGCCTCAGTTTTCTTCTACGTAAAACGGGGTCAGTCAGCGCCCCAAGCTCCAGTCACCCACCCTGAGGATTTCTCTGGCTTGGGAGGTAACGCGAGGGGCTTCCCCAGCCCCGGGACCTTGCAGGACTTGGAGCGCTGGACCGCCGACTCCTTCTGGCTTGACTTGCTCTCTGCTGGGTCCCCCTCCTCAGCCGAGCGGTTCCGGGGCCGTAGCTTGGCCTGAGAGACAAGTCCAGGTGCAGACACGTCAGAGGGACAGGCAAGAGGAATCACAGAGGGCTAGGCCTTCTCCCAAAAGCACGGAGCCCCCAGAATCAGGTCCGGACCCCTCTTCAGTCCTCTCACCTGGAGGGATGGGAAATCACTTACAGACAAACTTCCCCCGAGAGCTGAGCCGTGTCTTACACAGAGCAGGCCCTCGGAGAGACTCTGCTGCATTCAGACTAATTCGGCTGGACAAAGCCAGCGGTGACTGCCCAGCCCTGTGCCTTCGCCCATTCCGTTCCCTCTGCCTCAAAGGCCTCCCACCGCCCCACCCTCCATAGCCAACTCCTATGCCTCAAAGCTAAGAGCAAATGCTACATGCGGCCTCCCCCACCTACCCTCGCATCCCACACTACCTCGCAGTTATGAAAGAACCTCTCTGAACAGGCCCAGCCCTTGTATGAACCTCCCCAGTGCCCCCTAAACGTTTCCATTTACCAGAGCTAATTACGGACATGGCTTGTGTTCCCCGCTACCCCGTGAGGTCTGGGACACGGAATGCACCTGGTTTCTACTTCCATCCCACTCAGCACGCAGCACGGGGTGGAGCAGGGCCCTCACCAGGGAGCAGAAGGAGAGGAGGAAGGGGAAGAAGGGGATGGGGGAGGAAGAGACGATGGAGAGAAGCGACGCTGGACACAGGCGGCCAGCTGGCCACGGAGCGGGACACGGCTGCTAAGTGATCAGATGGTACCTTCAGGGCTGATGGGCTCAGGCCAGGAAACAGGTTGACTTTCAGCCCCTTGGTGCCCAAGGACATCCGCGTCCGACGGTTCTGAGGCTCCTCCACCACCTCCTCATCTGAAGATGGCACCCGAGAAGTTCGTGGCTCTGCAAGGGCCCGGGCAGGGGGTCAACACAGACAGCAGCCCCAGACCCCCACCCAGCGTACCCCCAGACACCGACACAGATGTCAGCCCCACCCGTAGAGTCCTGGAACAGGCGTGCGTC